TCCTGCTGATAGTTCAGGACTGTTAGTGGTTACCTGACTATTTGACAGAAAACATTTCCTCTCCTTTATTTAACCTTTGACTCACGAATGTAAAAGTTTTATCAGAGCTATGGTGGGAGCACCGGCGAGGTGGAAGTCTACTTACGGCAACAAGGGTTATGCGTGACTTTGAATAAAAGTCTGAGCTCCTGCCTTATGGCTCATTTGGATTAAAGGAAAATGCTAAGTACGTTTTTAATTAACCATGAAATATCTTGGGCTCTTGCTTTTGTGACAGGCAGTGGCTGTACTTTTGACTAAAGACCATTGTATTCTCAACCAGGGAATACGTACCTATTAAAGCGGTATGGCCGCCTTTCTTGAAGTTTTTCTTTATTATGGAAGCGATGTTTTGTGGCAGCTTTAGGGAAATTGGTGTGTGTTGTTGGAGGTTGTTGTATGATTGTCCTTGCATGTTTGTTTCTCAAGCAGTTATGGATCGTAATGTGAGGAATGCAAATAAAGTGTACAAATCAAGAAAAATAAGCAAGAAACCAGTAATGATTTGGTTGTTTAAGAACCTAAATTATTTTTATTTCAAGTTTAGGCTTCTAAATATTTTAAAATTGAAAATTTAAGCCCTGTTTTTCCTCAATTTATCTACTGTGAAGGAGTTTCATTGATAACCTTATGTTGTTTTCGCACAACAACTCATTAATTATGAAATGCACTGCTCATAAATAATTTTATGAACGCAAGTATGATGGTAAGGTCTTTCTAGTGATGGACTTCAATTTTTTGATTTTTATTTGTTGTTAAGGTACATAGTAGTGTGAGAGTTTTGAGTTAGGAGTAAAATATTACAGGTCTCTGTTAAATTTGGCCATTTCAAAACTTTTGCAGATAGGCCATTTCGGTACTGACTCGAAAAAAAACTGTTACCCAACCGAAACAGATGTGTGCTGGATGACTTTTCTGTGCATAGATTAGTGCTTCTGTGCTAAACAGAGATTAAATAATTTTGCAAGATTTGCTAACAGGACGAGCTAAGAAAATTCTTTTGCCTGTAATACTTCTGGTTTTTAGCTATGGCAAATGCAAGTGCCGCATACATTGCATTATCCAATAGACTGTACCGGATAAAGATGTAAAGTCTATATTATCTATGAATAAATCTATTCACTAGAGTAGTCCAAATAAATTAATAGCATTATTAACACATCTACTTGCAAAATTAGCCTGTGATATGGCAAAAATGTTACTTGACAGCCTTGAGGATATTACAAAATCAAAGGAGCTTATACTTGCTCTTTGAATTGAGAGTCTAAAATACCATCTGATAGCTGTCTCTTACGAACAAACACAACCTGTGTTTATTTTTACTTTTGAATGCAGAGCTGCATTGTATACACACACACACAAATGCACTCTTGGTTATGAAAACAACAAATGTAACAGTTCTTTATTCTGTACTGAATTATTAGCAATTAGCAAATATGTGAAATGCAAAGGGAACTTCTCTGCTTTCCAGTAGATCTTTGTAATATTTCATTGCAGTGAGAACAATATAATTAAAATTCTCAGCAATTAATACTGCAGTTAAGGAGTGCTTTGGAAGAACTGAAGAATATGTGAAAAATAAAGAGAGGACAGGTCTTCAGTGGCTTTTAATTTCATGCCATCTAATGTAGTGGGGTACTTGTTTTGCTTTCCATAGTTATTCAGGTGTAAGAAACACGCTGAAGTTACGTTAACCTCGTGTCTGTGGTTATAAGGCTTAAAGCAATTCTTTTTCCAGTCTTTCGGCTCAGAAAGGAAACCGGCATTTTTAAACTGTTCTCAAGTGTTTGCAATGTTCTTCTTGGTGGTTTTGTTACCTGAAGACATGGAAGTGTATCATCAGCAACCTGATTTTGCTAAGGGAAGAAATTCTTCTATGAGTACTTGGGCCAGCATGCCTTGCCATATGAAAGAAAAATCTCCCCTGGCTTTCTGCTAGGGTTCATTAATTTCAGATAATGATTTTGACCTTTTTAGGCATGGACTTAAAAATTGCATTTAATTTTTCTTTTCACAGCAAGAGGGGAGTCAAGAACATAGATACAAGAAAAATATGGTTGCTATTTTATTGAAGTAGGAGCATTTGTTTTTATAGACTGGTGTTCATAAATGTTAGTTATGAAAAAAAGAATTATCAGGTAAGATTATTTAGAGTATTCTGCAGCAAAATATGCTGATGCATGTATGCTACTAATGCAGAAGTGATAGCGAAAGACTGGACAGCTCTTAGATAATCTAACTAGTTTGCATGTCCAGTGTTATAAAAATACTTTGTGATTTATACCTACTTGGTGCTTTGACTCGGATAAAACGCTAGGAGAGCGTTGCAGTCCCGGCTGTAATTCTTAGACTGGTAAAACTGTTCAATAGCTCTGACATGAATGCTATGCTGAACAATTTTGTTTGCCTGTCTTCTCCACGTTTCAGCAGCATGTAAAAACCAGATTAACTTGATTTCAGAAGATAATAGAACAGGAGTTCTGTTAGAGGTGGAAGAAGACTCCAAGATCAGGTGTTTAGGTGCTGTTGTGGTGGCTGTTTTACGGTTGTGTGCGGCACCCGTGCCTGTAAGCAGCGAGAGGCCTTACGTGCAGTGAAGGAAATGTTATGATTACGTAAGAAAATATTGGAAAGCAGATGTACTAATGTCACACCTTAACTCCTGTCAGCAATACCAAGCATTAAAAGTTTCTGTGAGCATTCAGATGTTGATGTAGTTGTGATTCATAGCCAGTACAGCCTGTGGTCAACTGTGATCAGTATAGAGGCTCAAAAAGAAATCATTGTTTCTGTCTCTTTTTGGCTTGGCAAGAGGAATTCCTTGATGGTTGGTTGTGGGGTTTGCTTTTGTATTTGGTTTTCTTCTTGTTTATTTGTGGGTTTTTTCTTTAAGAACCTGTTGTTAAGCATTTATGACAATAGCAAAGAAAGATGGCTAAAAAATGCATAACTCGATGTTCAGCCAGCATTGGCTCTAACAGATTTCCTATCGGGGAAAACATTTAGGTTCTGCATATTGGGCTATTCAGTTGCTGATAGCATGTTGCCTGAAATATGTAAATACAAAGCTTTAAGGTCTGTCCATAGCACACAGTAAAGCATTTAAAAAATGCGTTGAAGGTATGTCTGTGGATTTTCACTGCACTGAGTAACAGGGTGTGTAGTATTGTTACATATGGGTGTGGAATGTAGTAAATATGTTCCAGGCTCTGTTTCCTTCCCAGCCCCTGTTTTAGTCTCAAACAACTAAAATTAACCATACTATTACCATTTTAGTAATATTCTTTATGATAAAATTCTAACAGACATGAGAGGGTGTGTAATTTGTAAATAGGAGTAATTTATACCAGTACTATTTAGTTTACCAGCCTTATAAGATCTGTACCACAGGCTTAAATAGTGATTATGGAAAGTTCTGTAACATGCGGTCACTGATGGTGGCGTGATTAAAGGTAACTGTTGTGTAAGCAGATGGCCAAAAAATGGAACTGATACCACTGTGTTTGAGTTTCTTTTCTTATACTCTTCAGTTATGTCTTACTTATCTTGGATTCTGTTTAACTCAGAGTATTGCATGCATATGGGCTGCAGGGTTATGTGAAAAGTCTGTTAAGTACTCATGTATTAACGTGCTGGATATTTACAACACTGCTGAACGCTCTCCTGTTTTTAGAATTTAATTCTGTCTACAGAAGTTACTTTACAGGGAGACCAGTATTCTTACATATAATGCGACATCTGTGCTGTGGCATAGCATTGCACCGCTTCCCAAATAAGGGGTACCTGGTCTGCCCAGGTGAAATTGGTTTTCGTTCCCCAGCAAGCAGTTCTCACTGTCTACCAGGTACAACAGGACAGAGAATTTCAAAATTGCAATAGCATCACTGCCGAAAACCGTAACAATTAAAGGTAATGGGAATGGGGTTTGGCAATGATGACAGTTACTTTTGGCGCCTTTAAAACAGTAAGAAGTGAAAGTGTTATGAGCTGATCTACACTGAATGGAACTTCATAAAGAAACATAAGAAACATAAAGAAGCATAAAGAAACGGAGCTTTGCTACTATCTGTCAGTGATGTACCATTAAATTTGTGGGCAGACGTTTGATGTGCTTTGTATTTACATGTAGAAGTATTATGAAAGCATATAGATCAGATTAATTGTAGTAGTATTGTACAAGCACTGGGAAAGATACATTGATATTTTATTACAATGCTTTTCTCCTCTCCTCTTTTAGTTACCTACCATGGTTTGAGGTGTACTACAAGCTCCTAAATACTCTGGCAGATTATTTGGCTAAAGAACAGGTAATCTTAGATATTCTGTTTCTTTGTATAAAATATTTTCCTTGAAATAATGGTCACCATTTGAAGTGCAGTAGAGTGATTCTATACTGTTCAAAAGTTTAAAGTTTTAGTAGAATTTAAAAGCAAATTCTTACATTCATCACCCTGAAATTCAAAGAATCTGACCATAGAGCTGCCTCTGTCACTGGAATCACACATTAATCTTAAAAAGCTACTGAGAATATACCTTTGTGAAGTGTCAGTCTTCGCATAAACAAGTCCTGGGTGAAGTGTGAGCAAAATGTCACATCACTGGAGATGCGTATGACGTATTGATTGTAAACTGTAGATCTCTGGAACTATCTGATTATCAGTTACAAACACTTTTTTTTTTCAGAACTGCATAAAATATGATGTACTGTTTCACCCTTCATATTAAAAAAAATAAAAACTACCTATCCTAATCCTGTCATCTAGACCAGCAAGACAAAATTACTTGCAGCATTTGGTGAAGAATCATGATAGTTTAGTTTGCATATTCATGAGCATTTAGACATATTCCAGGATTACGCAGTAAAGGAAATACTGACATGTGTCTTTGCTGAGAACATTTAAGCTCTACCTTTCTGCTTTAACTACGTTAGTGTACTAGATTGTAATTAAAAAAACCCCCACAGCATCAAACCATCCTGAGTCAGCCATATGCTGTAGACTGGAAAAGCTGACATTTCAAGAATATATGAGCTATAGAATAAGCAATTACTGTGCATTATAGTAAGTGGACTATAGAGAATGATGGTATTTTATGTAAAAAGGAAATACAGTAGGAAAGTTTGGTGTTAGCTGCATTTAAATGAAGTATGGAATGCAAACAAGTTTTACAAATGGTATAGTGAGGCTTTGGCTTTGATTTCACTGTAATAGTAAAAGTTGTTAGTAAGATTGTATTTGACAGAAGGAGTGGGCATTGTCTTGTCCTTTGTTCCGTGCTCACTGGTTCTAGGATTGCAGCTAGTACAGCGACCAGTTAGGTGCCTGGGTTCTAAGTTTGTTGTCCTGTGTGCCAAGAAATCTGTTCTGATGTGTCAGAAAGCTTTAGCAGTGTGGGGAGGTGTTTAGTTGCATTGCCTAGAGCTGTATCTGTTGCTGAGGACTGTTAGGGGACGTTGCTCCTTCTTGACCCAGGCACTATTCATCTGACCGAGAGCTAGACCCCAAATCTTGTTTTCTAGCGTCAGACCCAGTAACGTCGTCGTTCTTGCAGGGAGAGGTGGAAACTTCATGCAAACTCAAACACTGTGTTTAAAAGCTGTCTGTGGCTTAGCACGGTTGGTTTTTGTTTTACTTTCACAACAAAAGTAATTCAATCTCCATGAACAAAAACCCTAACCTGACTGAAAACCCTAAACCAAACAAAAACTCCAGCCGTATCTCTTTCTCAAGTAAATGTCTCTTTTGGAGATCAGGGTAGGGGATCCTGATTAAATACGGTCCTGCATGTACGTTTTAGAAAACCTTACTAACTGTTGTATGTGCTCTGATGAGTCACTTTTAACACATGCAGTGTAGCTCGTAGCATACAATATGTAGCTGCATGGTTAGTAAAACTTGTGATAGACAAATATGATGGCTAACAGTTTTAGGAGGGTGATGTCCATGATGCACAGACCAGCTGGATGTGTTCAGGCTCTTTCCGGTTGTAAATGGTGTGGTTGATTTAAGGAGTTTATGGGGAAACATGTAAGAGATTAACAACTTACAGATATAACAATTTTCTGAGAGACAAAGTTATCTTGAACTTTATACTTAGTATTTCAATATTCACTGTGAATTGCAATTGTCTTTCTCCTTAAATACACATATGTATCTTTGTCAATGTGTAGTTTGTGTAGTAAATGGTAATTAGTCGGATTTTATACAATAATTAACTACCTTTTAAAAATATTTCCTACAGGAAAATGACTCAAATGATTTGCTAAAATCATTGTATAGCCATCCTGTGCCAAAGGCGAACGCTTTAGTCAGTTTAAGTGTGGTAAGTATTCTCCATTTAACTTCTTCTCCTACTACTGACTATAAAACAAACAAACAAAAAAAAACCCTCTGTAAAGAGTAAACTTCTATTGCTTCCTATCATTAACTGGCCTGGAAAAATTCTTTTTTCCCCCTCACTATGGAGAACAGTTTGTCTCATGTTGTATAAAAGTCATAGTTGTAACAAAACATAAATTTGAATTTTGCTCTATGGCTGAGAAAGTAAACTCCAGTGGGTTTTGGCAGTGCTAGCACTACTTTTTGTGCTTCCAGCTGTTTCAGGTAGATAATTTTTGTTTCTCCTGCTGTGAATCAGTGGATACTACCTCCCTTTTATTGCCTCTTATGTCTGAGTAGGTAGACTTGCGGGATTGGATAAAAATGTGTAAGCTGGCTTCTTTCCCCGTCTTCCTGCCCCTTCTTCCTAGTTTTGCTTGATCATGCAAAAATGCTGTAGGGAAGCAGTGTACTGCATTACACAAAACTTTCAGCACATCTAGGTGAAAGATGTGTCCATGCCTACCTTGCTTTTGTGCTCGGGCTTGTTACAGTGTGGGACTGACCATTGGTAGCATGGCAAGGTGGTGGTGTATGGCAGAAATGTCCAAAAGTGAGCCTGGCTGTTAAAGTTCCTGAACAGAAATTGTATATGGACTCGTCTTTAAATACGTTCATAGAGCCTGCATGAGATGTCAGGTGATAGAGAGGCTCTGCTGTCTCCAGGACGTTGTTCACGTTCACAGCATGTGTGCAATACTGCCTGCATAAGGAACCGTGAGCAAACTATTGCAGTTTGCAGGGCAGAGAAAGAAGTGACTTATATAAAGGCTTCCCTTATGCACATACTGAAAGATCACTAGGTTATTTACCCTGACCTTTTCTGTGTGATTTCCTGTTACTTTTAACTCATTTATTTTAGAATTGAGCCCGACGCTTGAAGTAAGCACATGCTCTAGAAAAGCCTCCAGCCATATATGGAGAGTCTGCCACCTCCCTTCTAGTAGTTCCTCACCCTCGCTGCCTCACATAACAACGCTGCCCCACATAACGCTGCCCCCCTTTTAATCTGCCACATTTCAGATTCCTTGTTAGGATTTTTTTCCCTGGGATGCAGAGGCCTAATATTTTTCCCCCTTGAACAGTGCTAATCCACTGCATTTGGAAATGGTTCCAGTCTTGTGTGTGGTTTCTTGTGTGTGGTTTTTCACCAGAATAACATACTGGTTTTTGATTCTGCAGTTGTTTCTTTTGCTAAGGTTTTTCCTTCTGTAGTCGATGTAGTATTTTCAAGTTATTTTCAATTCACAGTAGCGTTGCCAAGAATACTTCTGTATATCAAATAGTATTTTGCCACCCTTAATTGCAGTATTATAACCAATTCTAATTTGGCAACCATAAAATGCTTTATTAATTCCTTGAAAAAATTTACTGCATTCCAGGGAGATGTAGAGAAGTTTGAAAAATACTTTTAGCTTGCGTTTCTTGCAAAGTCTTACTGCCCCTTGCTCTCAGTGATGCAGTTTGTCTTGCACAGAACTTGCCCACCTCAAAATGAATGTTATGCTGACCCTGGAATGAATGTTGTGAAATACACCTGGCAACACTGGGATGGCAAATTGCTTGCAATAAAGTTGAGGCTTGCTGCTTTTATTTCAATATTATCTGACTTTTGAGATTATTACCTTTTTTTTTTTCCTCAGTTGTCTCTTGTTCCCAGTAGCGTGTTACATCAAAGAGTTTGATAATCTTTTGAGCTGAGCAGTGATTATCTAAATGCAGGCTTCTTGACAAATGCTTGGCTGCAGGTACAGTCGAGCAAATGTAGGTTCAGAGGGGGCAGAGCAGGAAGGAATAGGTTAGCCTGAATCAGAGCGCTTGCTGGATCTACGGGCATCTCTGGTTTTGTCATTCGAGAGCTGCAGGGAGCAGGGCAATGTTTATGGTTTCTTTGAACTCTCAAGTTCGTACGCCTATTCTTTTATATTGATACTCCTTTCTTACTCCTCATATATTGTAAATAAGCAGGACTGGAACCTTCAGTAGTAATAGGCTTATAAAGAAGTTACAGCCTGGAAAAATAATTGTAGGAATGACTTCATGAGGTGGCTTTTCTTTGTGCCAGGATCAGTCTGGTTCAAATTTCCTAATTCAGCAAGAGCCCTCCTACCACTTTACTCAGGTACGCTGCAGGGTAGGGTTCGTAGGGGTTGAAGCAGGGCTTGGATGGCAGACCACAGTGGTACTTAGGATTGCGTGTATATCACCATGAATAAAATATGCTCAGTGTCTGGATATGTGGTATTTCCCAGTAATCCTTGGTCAGGAGGATGCCAAAATGCCTTGGTCCAGTTAGGGACAAAGTCCTGCTCTTACTTACCGTTCCCACTGAGAAATATTCTACAGCTGAAATTTGGGGGGTGATAATTCGTTCTACGAAACCAGAGTTTAAATATAATTTGGGTCAGTATTATTTTACCATTAGAAGACTAACAAAATTTATTTATTTTTTTGTTATTGGAAAAGCTAGTCTGATGTCAAATGAGGGAGGAATGCAAGGAGTAAAACATATTTTCAGTCAATATTTTAGACATGGAATATTACAAACGTTAGAGTCAGCTTTGGCGTTTTTGTTGGAAAACTAAAAAATCAATTGTTCAATCTTTCTCTCATCTTGCATAAGAACCAAGAGATGATTTTTGCAAGTGAGCAAGTTTTGAAAAAACAGCCTTTTCTTGTATCGGTGAGTTTAAAAGGCACTGACTATCTAAAGACTGTTGCAATTAAAGAAATAATTACTTGCTATAGGATCTCTCTTTTGATTTCAGGCTTATTTGTACCTGTCCTTTGGGGAATTCTCGTGCTGTCTTTAGCCTAAAAGAGCAGTCTTGTATTAATGTACCTATTCCGTTGCAATCAATCTAACTTCAGAGCTTTGTGTGTATGCGTCATAATCTTTTCATAAAATCAGACCCTTCAATTGATGAACAGAAGTTGGCGTTTTCTAGTTTCCTTCTTGGAGAAAACTTTAGACAGGACAGGAGCTATTAATTTCATATCTCTTCCAAGGTCGTACACATTCCTAAGGGAGTTCAGGAAGATGTGCAAGGGCTTTGTACCACATTATTTTTGCTGCTTTATGACTCTTAATGACTGCAGTAATGGGTCTTTGCGTTTCCTAGTTCTCACTTCCTTTTCTGCTTAATGAGTGAAATATTATTACTTTGTTAATTATAAATAATTATTTCTCTAAGTTATTAACTTCATTACTCAGAAATCTTTTGATAAATATTCTGTGACCTTATTACATATAGGAAATAACTTTCTGTTCTCACTATACTTCTGAAGAATGTAGGCATTCCATTAATCTAAATATTTTGCTGTTCTTGACTAGAGGAAAAAAAAAACTTAGCTTTTTTTCCTCTGTTGATGCAAAACAAAAACTAGGATACTTACTCTGCAAGTGCTATGATGTTTATGGGCACCTCCTTTAAGCCATTTTTTTTTTCTTAAATTCTTAACTACTGTGAAATGACCTAATTTATGGAGAAAAAATTCTATAAAATGTACCAGCATGGTTTAATAAGTCTCCTACACAGTTATTAATTATAATTTTAACATACAGTATAAAAATGAAGATCTTTGAAAAACGTCAAAATTCCCTTAAAAACAAGTAAAAGCTAAAAAGTCAGTAATTATCACATTTATTTATTATGAACTTAACGTTTTTTGTCCTTTGAAATTTTGTCTAATATGCAAAAATGCCTAAAAATTACTGAGCTAAGTCCATGTCTGATTACTACTAAACGCACTGGATTAATGAGAATAGTTTAAATTACATCTGCTTTTAGTTTAATCCATTTTGTATTTACAAACTAAGATGCATAAAATTGCTAATGTATGTCATAAGTGATTGCCGAATCTCAAGCTGTCAGACTTTGCTTTTCTGTTGGCACCTTTTTGATTCAGGGATGTTTGGAAAGAGAAGAGAGTATGTGTCAAGTAATAATATTTCTGTTCTAATTAATGTTCTCTTGTGAATGATTTTTTTCCTTTTCCATTCTAAATTTGTATTTTGTTCTTCAACACTGTTTGGTTTAGTTGCAATTTTTAAATTATTGCTGAAGTTAATCAGTGCTGCTCTCAGGCTCGTACAACCTTTAAAGCTGGCTTAATTTCGATGTTATTACAAAACTGCAGCCCAGTGTTTTGTTCCTTTTGGTTTGTGCGCTGTGCTGAACCAGAGCTTGTCGTTTCATGTCGTGATCTGCTTAATTCTTTGTCTGGTAAGAACGCTGTTGGAAAAAATGGCTATTTGCTTAAACAGAGATGGGGTTGAAAATCCTAAACGCTGGTTTGTTGGTTTTTTTTGGAAAAGAACTTTGGTTCCTGTGTGCATAAATTATTAATTATTTTTCCCTATTGATTAGCACTCGTATTTCATTACTCCTGATATAACTGGGTTGCCAACTGTCCCTGAAAGCGTAAGTATGCCGTTTCTTTTTTAAATATTTACAAGAAGTATCAACCTCATTCGGTGGGTAGCACTGAACTCTGCTTTTATCAATAGGACATGTTTTGTTTTTTTTTCCCAAGACTGTTTTTAGGATATGATTTATGTCTATTATTACAACCTTTAGCTCACAGTTACTGTTGAGTACATCATTAACTCATTTTTAAAGCATTAACAGGGCATTTTTGACCACTGCTGTGTTCACCCTTTGTTTGTAATTACTTGGATTCTTTGCATTTATTGGGAATATTTATGTAAAATGTATTACAATTGAGAAGCGTGTGTTATTTGAATACTTGCCCTTTAAAAACTGTGTTGCTAAGCTGTGAATTCAGCTACCAAGACATCCAGTTATTTTTGGGGGTAGAAGGCATTGTTTCAGGATTTCCGAAAAGATGCCGTACCGGCGTACGCTTGGCAGGTGGGCAAGCACCAGGAATGGTGTTGGTGGTTGTTATTTTTATTTTTAATTATTATTGGGTTTTAAACAAGACTTGCATTCTGTAGATGCTAAATCCTTGATCATGCTATGGATAGATTAGAATCACAGAATGTTGGGGTTGGAAGGGACGTCCAGAGCTCACTCAGTGCAACCCCCTGCCAGCAGGTCACACAGGAACATGTCCGGGTGGGTTTGAAAGTCTCCAGAGAGGGAGCCCCCCCAGCCTCTCTGGGCAGCCTGGGCCAGGGCTCCGGCACCCGCACAGCCAACAAGTTTCTCCTCGTGTTGAGGTGGAACTTCCTATGTCCCATTATTCCTTGTCCTATTGCTGGGCACCACTGAGAAGAGATTGTCACTTTCCTCCTTGACCCCCCCACCCCTCAGATATTTCTCTACGTTCATAAGGTCCCTCTCAGCCGTCTCCTTTCCAGGCTGAACAGCCCCAGGTCTCTCAGTCTCTCTTCCCAGCAGAGATGTTCAGTCCCTCGATCACCCTCGTAGCTCTCCCTTGGACTCTCTCCAGTAGGTCCCTGTCTCTCTGGAACTGGGGAGCCCCAAACTGGACCCAGGATTCCAGGGGTGGTCTCCCCAGGGCAGAGCAGAGGGGCAGGAGAACCTCCCTAGCCCTGCTGGACACACTTTTCTTGATGCCCCCCGGGATCCCACTGGCCCTCTTGGCCACACGGGCACGGTGCTGTCCCAGGGACACTCACTGCCCACTGGGACTCCAAGGTCTGTCTCCGCGGGTCTGCTTTCCAGCAGGACGTCCCCTGATCTGTGCTGGTGCTGGTGTTACTCCTCCCCAGATGGGGCACTCTACACTTGTCCTTGTTGAACTCCATGAGGTTCCCCTTTGCCCAGCTCTCCAGCCTGTCCAGATCTTGTTGGATGGCAGCTCAGCCTGTAGGTGTGTCAGACACCCCCCCCCGTTTTGTATCATCAGCGAACTTGCTGAGGGTGCTCTCTGTCCCCTCGTCCAGGTTGCTGATGAAGATACTGAACAAAACTGATCCCAGGGAAACCACTGGCCACAGGCCTCCTCTGTTCTAAAGAATTCTCCTTGCTCATTGCTTGGGGTTCTGATAAAACATAGCTTTGGAGAGTGGAAGGTGTGTTATGTGTTTAACCTGAAGAAAATATGGGGAAGCTTCTCTCTGGGCCTCTGGCTGGTGGAAGAGCTTGTCATGGTGCTGCTGTGGATTTATTTTTCTGATCCTGTGGGAGAAAGGAAAGTGCCTTTCTAAAATTCTTTTTTTACTCCATCTATAAAAGCCTCATCCTTCCAGTATGAATCAAAATAGTATGGTACTAATGGAGGATTAGAACTTGCAGTGAGTGAAGAGGTGAGGTAATTGCAGTAAAGAAGCAATAAAATTAATTTTCTTGGTTGTAAGATTCAGGGGCAGTGACTTTTCAGATGTAACACAGAAATAACTGTGACTGTCTCCCAGAGATAAGTCAGTCTGTAAAAGACTGCAAGCTCTTCTATACCACAGCTTTTGCCACACAAAACACTGTTATCAACGATCTTAGAGGATGTCCGAGGTAAATCGTTTTTATCTCTTCCAAAATTTTATGCAGCGTGGACCGAAAATAACTGTATTTCGTGTCTTTGAATTAATAATGCATTTCTGAATTTGTATGAAACCAGATAAACCATTGGATCTTTGTTTGTCTCTTCAATACCTTTTTGTTTTTTAATTTCCCCCTCACCAAAAAGGAGGTCAACCTTCCCATCATTGTCTGGGCTTTAACTAAAATCAGGGGGGTTACCCTACCTTGAAGCCTTTACCACTTGTCCTGCCCTCGCTGTTTTTCAAGGGTGGGTTACCTTGGTGCCATGTGTTGGTGAGAGTTTTGGTTTTAGATACAATAACAAATGTGTGAAGTTATATGTTGTGTGTGCTGGTATATTTCCATGCATATTCTCTAACTTGTACAAAAATTACTGTTTTCCTAGACGCTTTTGCTGGTGGCTGGTTTAGATTATTCAGAACCTGTATGTCCTTGGCACTGTGCCATGCAGAAATGCTATTCAGCTGGAACACAGAGTTCCTTTCCCGCCCACCTTTTTCTCTTTTTTCCCCCACTTTCGAGTTGTCTGAACTATAAATAAGAGGTGCTGTTGACTTTGCTTTTCATTAAACCCACAGTGGGCATGGCACAGGGTTGCTTTCTGGGGACGAAAGGTGTGGCTGCAGGAAGGAGCTGGTTGGTGCCTTCTACCAGTGCTGCTGGACGTTTGATGTCCTGGCATATACAGCTTGGTGTTTTCCAACAAGCTGTTTCACTGCACTTGAAGTAGAATAAAATGCGTTTATTTTGGGAGAGCCTGGCAGTTTTTTTTATTATAGCTGTCACAGAACAGTTATTGTGGTCGTAGAAGATCTGTCCCTGGATTGGGAGTAACGGTTACCTTAATAGCAGCATATGGTGCTATTGATCTAATACCAAATTTAATATTTTTTGTAAAATTGAAAAAAAAAAGGCAAAACTGAATTTGCAAGCATAATCAAATATTAGTGACTTACACCAAGGTTAGATTTTCATTGGCTTTAAAACCCAATCAATTATTCTTAAATAATAAAAATTCTAACGCAAAGGGAATTATGTCTTAGTTTTGGGTTGGGTTTTCTGCCTGTCTATTAATTGGACAAAAATTTTCAGAAGTAATATGTAAAGTGTTCCTCTTGGCTACTGCTGTTGCTATATTGTTAACATCTTATTTATTTAAACAGAGAAACCTCACTGAATATTTTGTTGCTGTGGATGTGAACAACATGCTGCAACTTTATGCCAGTATGTTGCATGAGAGACGAATCATTATTACCTCTAGCAAACTAAGCACTGTAAGTACTTCACACATCTCCTTTTAAGTAGAATATATTGAACATTTCACAAAATGACCTGCAGACCTTTGTGGTTTTAGATATGTTCCATGTGTACTTATAAGACAATATCTACATACTTTTCTGATATATGGTTTTAGTCTGGCTCTTGAAGTACAAAAGTCTGATTTATATAAGACCTACTCAGATACATTAAGTCAGGTTAATTATTTTTCTTATCAGGAGATGAGAGTTCTTTAACTCTCCTGAGTTCATTTTTGTGCCTTCTAACCTAAAAAGAATTCTTAAGGGCTATTATAAGATCTTTATTATTCACTTGTGGCTTATTCCATTGGAGCTACTTGAAAGAAATCAAGGGTCCGTAATAATAGCTGCTATCCTAACCTGGTAATAGGTAGATTCATCTTTGTTAGAGTGGTTTGAGAGTGCCTACTGTAATAGCTCTGATTTGGAGCAGCTCTTCAGACTGATAATAACGTACAACTCAAAATACCTTTTTTTTTTTTGTATTAAAGGTTTTAGGCTACTGCCTGCATTAAAAGTGTGTTGGGTTTTTTGTTTTCCTTGTGCTTGCCTGGACTGCTTAATAAATGAAAGTATAGTTAATATTCAGGGATTTTTTTTTTTTGTTTTACTCTTCACAGAAGCCTATAAATTTTAAAAAATATATTTGGAAAATATTTCTAAGGTTAATTTTGCCTTAGTACAAGACTGTCAATTTATAACCAACTTTTGTCGAAGAGTGGATTTATGTGGAGTCTTTATCCTATTAAGCACAGTCATTTCTTAAAACATTTTGTTTAATATGCTTTCTCTGGTGAAAAATCAACTTGATGTTCCTGAACACTGCTAATTCTAGTACCAAATATATGAACAGTTGCTTTCAACACATAGGTACAAGTTTGGATATAGTACTAAAATTTAATATTTTCAAAGACTTGAAGGTGCTGATTTCCGATACATACGTGTGCATGTAAGGAGTGAGAATTTTTGCGTTATAAATAATAGATGTAACCCCTTTAAATTCTTTTGAGTCAAAAGTAAATTGAAGATGAAGAAGGTTCAGAATTGCCATAAAAGGCTGACAGGTTTTACAGTTCTAGGTGGTAGTAGCAATTATATAACTACCTTATTATTTTATTTTATTTTTTAAAACACCACTATATTGGGGGTCTCTGACTCTGCAGTCACCACTGCAGTTAGGGGAGTGCACAAAGAGAGCACTTTACTGGTGGTTTGCAGAATATGGAGCTAAGTAATTCCACAGTAATCAGAGAGTAAAAGAAACATGGGGTCAGGTAAGCAGAGGCCACATGAACAACTGAAAACCAGAAAAATAAATAATGAATGAATATAAGCAATCGTCGTATTGCTATCTATGATATATTGTTTTAACCACCAAAGATTTTAATTTATGTGAGGAAATTTCCATATTCCGTCACATGATTTTTCTACCCCTGCCCAGCCCCAAAATGTCTGTGGCAAGAACGGGGTGTTACACTGCGGTGATAAGACCACCCGTACATGTGGAGAGAATTTGAAGGGAAAGCCCTTTCAAAGAATCTGCCTCAGATTTAGCGAAACCACGGAATAATTTTTTTTATTTTTGCCGGTCTGAGACCTAGCTTGCTATATCACAAAAAGAAAAATAAGAAAAAGAGAAAAATACGCCACAAAACCCCTCAACTCCAATGATGCCCCAGTCAAACCTGTTTTACTGCTCCAGTAGAGAGGAGAATAGGAGTCATGATGGCAGCTCTGTGCATGTGGAGGATTCGTTCTGCAGGTAGAATCACAGAATCACAGAATGTT